CAACTGCTACAGCAAACAAAAGCCAGGTATTTGAATATTGAGCAGCAAGCTCATTGGCTACCGATACAGGAGAGAACCAATCAGCTGCCATTTGACAATGATGTCACCAGGTCAGATTGAGCTAGACCTATCGGACTGCGCCATCTAGAGTTTCATGCCAGAACTCTGTATTAATGTTATAGTCAGCGTACAGATGGTGCATACTTACATACTACTGTTCAAAAGTCTGGAGTTAGTAAAACATTTTTTTTTTATATAAAATAATACTTTTTATTCAGCGAGGATGCATTCAATTGATCAAAAGTGACATTTATAATGTTACAAAAGATTTCTATTTGAAGTAGATGTTGTTCTTTTGAACTTTCTATTCATCAAAAATCCTGAAAAAAATGTTTCCACAAAAATATGAAGCAGCACTGTCTTCTGTCTTCAACATTGATAATAATCAGAAATGTTTCTTGAGCAGCAAATCAGTATATTAGAATGATTTCTGAAGGATCATGTGAGACTGAAGACTGGAGTAATGATGCTGAAAATTCAGCTTTGCATCACTGGGATAAATTACAATTGAATATGTATTCAAGTATGATTTTAAATTGTAATAATATTTCACAATATTACTGTATTTGTATTAAATAAATGCAGCCTCGGTGAGCAGAAGAGACTGCTTTCAACAAACAAACAAACAAAAATTTTTACAGATCCAAATTTTATAAACAGTAGTATTTCTATTTTATTCTATTTTCTGTTTCTATTTTTCATGAAAATTTTATTTATATAAATGATGCATTGCTTTCAATGTTTTCTTCATATACTAAAGAAACTGAATATTCACAACTTTTTTAAATAAAACCTTTATAGACAAGTCTATTTTTATGCATTTGTTTATTTATTTTGAATTTATGAAACTAAATTGGAAATTATATTTTGCATATAATAAACCTTGTTTATAGGATCATTGCATCTAGTTATATTTTTATAGTTGTATTTTTATTTTTTAAAAGTTATAGTATTTTAACTATATATATTTTAATGTGACATTTCTAAGTGAAACTGAATATTTAGTGTAACATAATGTAGGGTGGGACTTTTAGCCATTTGGCTTTGATTCGATCATGAAAAATTACATTATTTCCTGCCATATGACAGCGGTTACATCAGCAGAATAGTCAGAGGTGGAGAAAGTTATTACATTTTGATGAAAATATTCTAAAAGTAAGCATTAGTATAACGTGCACTGAACATGCGACGTAAGATTTAAGTTGACTTTTTCACCATAACATGATGCATTTCCAAGTGAAACAGGATATTAAAGGTGCTGTATGTAGGATTGACACCGAGAGGTTGAACTAGGTATTGCAGTCCAAGAGCAAGACTTGAGAATCTCGAACTGATATGTATTTGTGTGGCATTCTGTCTCTCTCTGTCCCGCAGCCATTCCACTGACGGCCTACGGACCAATGGCAGCGGCCGCAGCTGCAGCGGTGGTCAGAGGTACGCAAAATCCCATTTACTTTGCTTGTTTGAAAATGTACTTTTATTTGTCAGATTTTAAAATGTATTAAACTCCTTCAACTTGTAAAGCACCTTGTGAATGTTTAAGACATCTGTCCTTCACCGTAGGTTCCACACACTCACGTACCGCCGGCTTCCTGGGCACCAGCAGCCCTGGGCCAATGGCAGACCTGTATGCAGCAGCCAATCAGGATTCAGGAGTCAGCAGCTATATCAGTGCGGCAAGTCCCGTCCCCAGCACAGGGTTTGGACACGGACTCGGGGTAAGTACAATCAGACATACAGACACACATATACACATTTAGAAATATAACATTATTGTCAAAAAGGACAAAAGTAATAAACATAAAAGTCCATGCGACTTGTGCCAAGTCTTAGGTTTATTAAAATAAAGTACATTATTGATAAATGTATGTATGTTATTGATTTATATGCCCCACTGAATTCCACTGAAAGTGCATTACTGTTTATTTTGCTACTATTATATTGTTATTTGCATTTTATTACTTGCATTTATAATTTTTCCCTGCTGAAGTATTCTTTACATTATATTGTAGTATTTATTAATATTTTGAATTAACTTGTTTCAATTTATATTTTCATTTTAGTTTTATGTTTTAGTAATTTTGTCATGTGCATTTGTGATTTTTATTAGTTTTTTTATACAAATATTTCTTTTTGGTTTTAATTCATTTTAGTTTTAGTAATTTTAGTAAAGTTTTTTAAGTTTAAGTTTTTCATGTAATATTATATTATTGTATTTTAGCATATTTTAATTAATGAATTAATGAAAATACTTTTTAATAGTTTTAGTTGATAACAACACCGCCATTTTTATATTTTCATTTTAGTTTGAATTTTGATACATTTTGTTATGTGCTTTTACAATTTTATTATTTATATCTCTAAGGAATATTTCTGTTTAGCTTCAATTTATTTTTATTTTAGTTTTAGTCATTTTAGTTATACGTATTTCCTTTAGTAGTTCATTTCTAATTTTCATTCAAGTTTTTTTAAGTTTAAGTTTTTCATTTAATACTTTTATTTTATTTAAGTTAATGGAGATGATTTTTAACAGTTTTACTTAACAATAACAACACTGCTAAGAACAAGCCTGTTATAATTTTTTACCCTTATTTATATGCTATTTGTAGTATTTATTAATATTTTGAATTTTACATGAATATATATTTGTATTTTTATATTAATTAATATTTTAATTTTCGTTTTAGTAATTTTAGTACTTCAACTTAAACCTACTTCTCTTAGTTGCCAAGGCAACTAACATTTTAAATTTTTAAAGTTTTTCATCTAATACTTTTATTTTATTTCAGAAATTTGAGTCATTCTCATTCTCTTTCATTCAGATTTCAAGTTTATTTCAATTCCCCAAAACAATTGTAATAGTTTTAGTTTTAGTTATCGATAACAACACTGCTATTAACACATTGCACCAGAAATGAGAACCACTGAAACAACTTTGCATCTCTAATAACACATTTTGTACAGAAAAATGACAATGAGCAATTTAATAAAAATACGAGCTTCGCATTTCTGCTTTAAATCTCTCCAGAATGCCTTGCCACAAAGTCTTCCATTGCAAGTGCATTACTGTAAACACGATTTTTGCTTGTTTTTACAAACTAAATACATTATTTCCATTATTATGTCACTTAACTTGGAACATTCCATTAAATTTCCTCGTTCTCTCTTCCAAGGGTCCTTTGATTGCAACGGCCTTTACCAATGGCTACCACTGAGGGGTGTCCAATCAGAGCCCAGCATGGGAGGAGAAACTCACGCGCTTGTGAACCGTGAGCACTTCTGGCGACGTGACGTGCTTTTGGGACGAACCCCACGGGCGGCTGCGGTCCCTCCTGACTCCGCTCTGGAGTTTCCACCTTTTCTTTTTCTCTATTCTCTACTAACATCACTTTTCGTTTTCCTCATCCCGTATTTCCTTCCTGACGTATCCGACTCATTTATGATATGCTGCGGTCTGTCTTTTGAAAGAAAAAAAAATGAAGAAAACAACTTTGTCAAAACAATATTGTTCGATTGTACGCGCGGAAACGCAAGGAATTTCGTTTCCCCGGATTTTTATTTTGACAATTTTTCTGCATTTGTTATGTATTTTTGCTGACTGTGTTTTTATGTTTTTACTGTACTCATGCTGTAACGGATGATGTCGAGAAGACAGCGAGAGAGAAAGAGAAAGAAGGGGCACGAAACTGGAAAAAAAGTCCAGGATCTGTTTGGTTTTTAAACGAATCTAAACGGCACCGAACAAATACGTAAGAATGAATCAAATTTGTGAAAAACAAAGCAAAACGACAGGACAAAAATGTATATTTTGGTAGTTTTTACACAGCATTTGTAATGTTATAACGAACATTCTTAAGCTGAATTGGCTATTTTTTTTTTTCGTAAAATTGGTTTTACATAAGAAACAACGGGCCTCATTCATGACTTTTCTGCGTGAATCTGCATTCTACAGTTTCAGATGTAAGAATATTTGACACATTTTTACACCGAAATCCGTTCTGCTCATGTTGAGGCTCATTGTTCGGCTTCTTTTTGTAGATACTGTATATATGCATGGATTTTGGGAGGGTTCGAGGGTTCGGATTGAATGATGGACTGGGGTTTGCGGGAGGGCTGAGGGTCCTTTATGGTTCTTAACATGCAAACATCTTTCTTCACATTCAGTCTTGCATTTCTGAGACTAGTTTCATGACCAAGTTGGACCGATGTGGGTCTTTGGTTGTGCTTCTCTCGCTTTCGACTCCATTTATACTCTTTCGGCCTAAATTCTCCGAATCAAACGGACCTTTCGGTCGTTTCGGTTTCGTATGATTCCTCACGCTCGTGAATGTTAAACCATTCATAAACCACGTTTTTTGATGTTTGCTGTCACTTATGAGGCGTCACACGACATCGCTGAAAAACCAGGTTGCGTTTTCCATTAGAGCAAATGATTTGGTCGCATATTTGGGAAACGGAAACGCGGTCTTGATCCGCCTCATTTTCGAAGAGCACGGCTGCTGGGCTTCTCTTCATGCTGTTTTTTGGAAATATATATTATATATATAATGTTTTGCGCAGTGTACTTCTATTGTAAATCGTTCCCTTTCTCATTTTTCTGTTCGTTTTTGACGGTACAACGCTGTTTTTTTTTTTGAAGAAATGAAGGACAAATTTACAAAGCAAAGGAGTCTGAGCGCTGTTACACCTGTCGTTGTGTGTTGGGATGTGCGTGTGTGAGTGTAACTGAAGTATGGATGTACACGTAGCTAGTTTACATGCATTCAACTGCCATCTTTGAAACTGTCTTGTCTCTGCTAGCAATGGAGAGGAACGTCTCTGAAATCACAGCTCTAATGGAGGCCCTCTGGGAAAATTTTTAATTTTTACGTAATTGATACACTTGACTAATAATAGACATTCAGAGTGATAATTTTTTTTCATTTCAGCAACATTGGATCTGTTTGATTTCTACTTAATTGCATTCATTTTCAGTCTTCCATTTGACACGTGTAGCCTCTTTTTGGAGCAGTGGTCACGTGACGACCGAAACTCCAGCTGACGGGGACGCCTCACAAAACTACTGCACGGCACACACTGTAACTATTTAACCAACAAAAAGCAATAAGTTAATTTTAAACTCAAGTAATAATGAACGCCGTTAACGGTGGTACGAATACGATGGCGGTTATGTGGCATTAAGAATTATTTTTCAGAAAAAATCTATATTTTTCAAGATCCATTTTAACCCCTTGAAAGTTTCTCAGATTTTTACAGCACATGTTAGTTGTTTGTTTGGAGGATTTGTTGAAGGGGATCAGCGGCGGAACTGGAAAGCATCAGTGGGCGGCACTCCGTCCCGTTGCTGTGGAGCTGCACGTCAACACTGTGACCTGATGCTCAAATACGCTGGTTCGCTGTCCCTTTACTGTATTTTTTTATTTTTTTTTCACCTCTGGAAATTTTCAAGTAAAAAGATCCTAATAAATTATTTTAAAACATTCCATTTGATGGCCTCTGTATTCATGTTTTTCTTTGTGGTTCATTGCATTTGCAGGGAATGTTAGCAGAGATTGTCATGTTTTGGTCATATGCAGAATGGATTGCACTCTTATAAATGACACACTTTATAATATACATTTGAGTAGTAAATGCAAAATCTAAAATATTCCATTGTACAGGGAAAAAGTGAATGTGAATTTTGAGTAATATTGTAAACCCTGAACATTTACAAATTTCATAAAAAAATTATGTAAAATTCTAGAAAAAATTGGACAAATAGAGTACTTTTCAAAGATTATATAACAAAAAAAATATTTTGAAATAAAACACACACACACACACACACACACACACACACATATATAATTGTTTCAGAATAAAGTCATCAAAATGAAGGAATTATTAATAAAACATTATTCTGCTTTTATTTTATATTAAATATTTTATAAATATTTAAAAATATATTAAGGTTTTAATATTAACAGACCATCAGGGTTATTATAGTTAACTAATGATAAAACTAAAACCATTAAAAAAATCTTAAAAGAAATGTTAACTTAAGTAAAATAAAATATAAAAAAACTTAAACTTATTTTATTCAAGCTAGATTAAGCTAGAATTCAGCTAAAATAAGTAAAACTAAAACTAAGGGGAAAAAACTATGCAGGCATTTAAAAACAAAAAATCATAAAAATGTCAAAAACACAAAATTAAAATGAAATAAAACTAACTAAAATTGCAATGAAAAAATGTAATAGTACCTCCGCAATACTAGAATAATGATATAATTATAGAATACTAGTAGTAAATAATTATCAATAAAATAGAATTATTAATAAAATAAACACTGTTGGCTATAAACTATCCTAACTACAGATAGATAGATAGATAGATAGATAGATAGATAGATAGATGACTGTCCAAACCTTTGACTTGTAATCTATAAATTATACCTTCTTTAACATTTGTTTTGAATATTCAATTTCTCCAGTGTGTAAAATAAAAGATAAGCTTTTGATATATTTACTGTTTATACAAATTGGAAGGAACATTCACAGCACTAAAATCCTGAAAATGTTTCATGCTGTGGTGTTACTCATTTTCCATGGAAAATGTATATTTTCATGAAAAATGTAAATATTAGTAGATATTTTACATTGCCAAATGCCCTCTAACATGTTACCTAAAATGGGTCTGGTTTGTTTGTATATTTCTCAGCTGGTTTGCAACATTTAACCATTTAATAACCATTGTTCATGAAGCTAGCAGAATTCCAGGGAACCAAGTAAACAAACAACTGAAAAGACATCCAAACTCTGATGACCGACCATCCAACACTTCGAGACATGGGAACAGTCGTGGTTGATCTGCCCCCTCTTGCTCTGTTATGTTCATGTTCACACACCTGATACCCTGTGACCCCAATACCACCCGACGGCCCCATGTCAAACCACACACACACACACACACACACACACACACACACAGAGTTTCTCAACATTTCTGCATTTGACTATTATTAGTCTAGATTTCTGTGAACGTCCTGGTGTCATTTTACAGTTTTATATATCTGCCAAATTTGAGAGATATATGGAAAATTACACACACTTAAACTTTGGCGACCTGGAATCCGTCCATGAGAAAGTGCCTCATCTCCCTGATCCCGTTACTCACGGGTTCTTCTTGCCTCCTGCCCAAAATACTCTTCATTTCATGGTGTTTCCTGACAGCCTGCACAGCTCTCATTGAACCCTGGTGGATTTATTCATCCCTTTCAACTCATTTATCTCCACTCTCAGACATTTGTCTGTTATTGGAGTGTTTGCCTGCCATCATGGCGACGGGCAGCGCGCAGACGGACGTGAAGGGCTCTCTGAACGGGAGCACGGATTTGTATCGCAGCTGGTTCGGTCCTACGGCCCCACGACCTCCTCTACGAAATTACCTGCTCCTGACCATCCTAACCTGCTTCTGTCCGGCCTACCCTGTCAACATTTTAGCCCTGGTGTTCTCTGTAATGGTGAGTTAACAATCATATCCGGCTGGACTGCGTTTACTAAAACTGGAAACCGCTTGTAATTTTATCTGCCTTTATATTAATGTCTGCATGAAAGCAAGGACTTATATTGATAGTTCACTTACTGACAAGACGTCAGGTATCACTATCATTACTGATTATATGGTTTTTTTTGGGGGGGGGGGGGACTGTACTAAAGCATAAAAATACCTTAATATGTTTACACATATTTAGAAAACATGCTAAGTTCACATACTTGTTTCTCTGAAAAAACAATGCTACAGACAGTTATTCTGCTTTGAAATGTGCGTTCAGTGTCGGATCGTCTGTTTTTGTTTTGGTCTGAATGATTTTGCCGACTGTCGGTTTATCCAATAGCATTTAGACACCCCGGGTTGCCAGTTACCGGAAAAAACTCATTCCTGTTGCGTGTCCTCAATCTGGCAACCCGCATGAGCGTCGAGTCTGAGGAGGAGAGAGAGGTAGAAACAACTCTTTCTGCTATTTTGAATTTGGACTGCAGTACCCATTTCAACCACTAGTTCAATATTACATTCTGCACCTTTAAGACTATGATTTCAACAAACTTCTCGGCCTATTAAACTGAAATGCTTAACTCATTATCTCTTTATGTTATGGGCATAATTCCTGCTGTTGTTTGTTGAAGACTCGTGCATGTTTGTTACTTGTTCAACTTAGCAATCAGACAACTGGAACCTAGCAGATGATAAAACAGGCCAATGAATGAATGAATGAATAAATAAATAAATAGCCACCTATAGCTAGAGACCAGAATATCATCAACT